CAACACTCACTCATACTCACAAACTTCATGTTTAATTCTTAGAGCTCACAGTACTCTATGGGGATAAAATAGCATGTGCATGTCTGTGTCTTTGTGCGTGTGTGCACATGTGTGTCCCTATTTGTGTGTGCCTGTGGGTTTGTGTGTGTGTGTATTGTATCTCTGTCTGCGTGTCACTGTGTTTAGCTGTTTCTGTGTCTCTGTGTGTCTCCGTATGCATCTGTGTGTGTACCCGTGTCTCCGTGTGCGTCTCTGTGCACACACACACGTTCAGCAGCACGAGGTTCTGTGAATTCTAAGAATAAAAGATGAAGTGACATTTCACTCATGAGAATGGGGACTCCCCAGGTTACGTGATAAAGGGGAAGAATGCCCTTCAACTACAGGAAGATTTCATTTTTTACTAACCTGATTTGAATTAAAGCAAATAATCAGACCTTTTCTTGGCTCTTTGTATCAGGCGGGACCAAACTGAGTGCAGGCTGCTGTGAAGCCTGCATTTGGGCTCAGCCGTGCATGTGGCGTGGTGCCTCGGGCCCCCGAACACCCTTCACCTGCACCTCGCCACTGCTGTGGAGATGGGGGGCCCTCCCAGGGCTAGTGGGGCAGGGTCTCTGCAGCAACATTGAGCTCGAACCTCTGGCGAGAGTCCTCAGGTGTGTTTCTCACCCCCTGAGAGCACTGTGCCTCAATGTCCTCATTTGTAAGTAAGAGCCAGTTCCTAGATGATGGGGATGAAGTGGGTGAAATGAGAGAATTGTAATGATTACAGAAACCCAGGCTCATAACTGAACTCCCACAAATGTCCCCCCGCCTCCTCCAACACACAGCCCCTGTATTCATTGCCGGGGAGAACTGTGACAAAAGGTAAGTTAGGGCCTCGCTGGTGGCACGAGGGGTCAAGTCTCAGCACTATGAAGCTATCAGCAGCCACTGCAGTACGAGTTCGATCCCCAGCTAGGGAGCTGATCCACAGGGAGCAGCAGACCTCTCCTGTCTCTCTCCTGTCTCCCCGCTGCTCCCCACAGCAGTGTATTTCAGTAGATTCACCTGCTCTGCTCCCTACTCTGTCTCTGATGAATCCTCTCACCTCTTGCACCTCTGGCCTACATCCCAGTTTTTGTATTAATAAATAAAAAATAAAATCTAAAAAAAAATAAGTTACCTGATAAAACTATATGTGCTCTGACCAAAGTATGTTATTTGATGAAAGTGTAAGTTATCTGGTCAAAACCAGCACAAGTGCCACCTCCTTCAGGCAGTCCTCCTAGACTTCTCAAGGAGAAGGTCTCTATCTTGTCCTCCTTCACCCACAGTATGGAAGAGCCTCTGGTGTGCTCTCAAGCCTCCTACCTTCTCTGAGTCTGGGAAGCAGGCTTGGCAGGGTGCCCTGGGAGCACAGGTGGTACCTATTCCCCTCTGCTGTCCAGTGCCAGACTCATGGACACTCTACTCTTATGTATCAAACTCAGCAAAGGCAATACCCTGCCTGGGTGTGATGCCCCATTGGTTAAAACCTCCGAGATGTGGGTAAACCAACATGATTCTTCAGCTTGTCTGACTGAGCCCTCCTTATCATAGCTGATTTCCTGCTGGGGTCAAAAGCCCCCTCAGCAGCTCTTTGTGACCATGACTATGGCCTATGGCCGCAGCTGGGCAGAGTATATGTCCCTTTGATCTGGATCCTTCTGAGGCTCTGGCTAGGAGATGTCCTCTTCATTGACCACGGACGTCCAAGCTCCCCAGAACCAGCACAACCTGGAGAGTCAGTAAGAGTAAAAAAAGAAAAAAGAGAATAAAGAAAATAAATTGTCACCTGCCATGAATGTCATAAAAAGAAATGTTGGTGGGGGTCGGGAGTAGAAATCCTCAAATAACAACCCCGAAAAGAAATTCCATCTTCTAGTACGGACATGATTTAAATTTTCATGAACAAATCAACTGGTTTGCACGAAGGCAGCAGTGATGAAAAAATGTAATAAGCCATGGGGGGGCGACGGTGACCCAACTAGGTCCCCCAGAGGACCCCTCTGACCCGCTACAGAGTGAGGCGCCTGGTCTCGGAGAACACCTCCTGGACCGGGCTAATTATCTCTTAAAATTCATATCTAGAGCCACGGGCTGCCTCATGGGATTAAACACAGTATGCTTTGCAAATTGAAAATAAGATAGCTGTTAGGAATATATACTTGCCTCTATGATTACCACGGCAAACAAAGGCAAAACATTAATTTACATCTATTATAATAGAGAAACAAAGCTGAAGATAGTCCTTGTATCTCAGGAGAAGGAAGAGTTTGCAAAGGTGATGCTTCTGGAGGCGAGGTGGGGAGCGGGCTGTGGAGGCGAGGGCTGAGGGGCAGTGTGGCGTCCACGGGACCTCTGGAAGGCCTGGCGTGTTCCCTGACCCCTGTAGACAGGGGCACAAGTCCAGAACCAGGAGAAACAGCCCCTTTCTACCTGGCGGGAACAGAAAGTGCCTCTGAAATGCACGCTCGAGTTCCTCAGAGACACTGGCCTTCAGATTTTGTTCCTGAGTCAGAAGCTCAGAAGGATCACAGCAAATTCCTGCAACAATGTATTTTATGGTTGGGTCAAACTTGCTCCAAGGCCCCAGTGGACCACCGAGGAAGCAGAGGGTAGGAGGCTATGGTACCTCACCTCTCCTGGAGGCTGACCTCGTGTGAGGCTCTGCACCCACCATGGGGCCTTGTGACTAGTGTGACTGTTTCACAGATGAAGACATTGGCGCACAAGGTGAAGGTCAAGTTTGCACAGCCAGAACCGGCCCCCAGATGCCCAGCGCCTTGGCCACTGCAGCAGGAAGTAGGCCCCTCTAGGGGCACATGGGGCACATAGGGCCCGCGGGCTGTGTCTTCTCCCATTTCCACCCCACCTGAGGCCTCAGAGCGTAGGCTGCCCTCAGTGGCCTGGGCAGTGCTCATCCTCCCCCAGCTAATACCCCTGACTGCACACACGGCTGGCACACACCAGCCCAGGTCCTTCCTACTGAGCCATCCTGGATAGTCTCCTGGGGACGAGGCTGCTGTGGAGGGAGCTGGAGACATCGAGATAGCTCTGGGGTTCTGGAGCCCTGCCTCAGGGGGGTCTGGCAATGTGGTCACTCGATTAGGGGAGCACGAGGGAAAGGTCCCAAGAGAACATTTTAGGATGGGTGGACATAGCAAAGGGGGGGTTTTGAAGAGTCCCAGGGAGGAACTGTTGTTGGATATGCTCTATCAAAAAACGGAAGTGTTTAATGTTCTTTTATAGGGATTTCCAGAAAGTTCCTAGCCTACATAAATAAGGGATTTATGTTCCTTCTAGGACCATGTTAATAGGCTGTAGCCAACAGACTGTGTGGGTCAGCAGGCTTTGGTTGTCACACAGGCCATCTCATTCCACAGCTCAATGTGGCTCCACAGGGAGCTTCCTCTTGGGTGACTCACACGCCATCCCAAGAATACTGGGCGTGGGAGAGACACAGCCTGGGTGCTGATGGCAACAAGGGACAGTCAAGGAACTGCCTCTCATGGTGACACCTGATAAAACACTGGTCCCCATTGACCCTCTGTTTTCTGCTCTGTCCGTGGGGCTGAGGGACATGTGTTGACTTTATCCCACGACTCTATGACTCAGTTTATTTGTGTAAGGTTGAGACTTTGGGCGGTGACATGCTCTCCTAGCAGAGACAGGAAAGTGGAGGAGGGGTAGGGACTAGAGAGAGCAGAGGCAGGTGTGGAAGGCTCTAGAAGAGCAAGGTCGCTTGACTGAGATCTGGGATTTTTTAAGTGCTTTATCTGGTAGAAATGCATACAGCATTCACAAATTGGAAATGACTCTGTAAACTCAGATAAGATTGTCCCAGTAATATCATAGCCAGAAACTGCTCACCATGACTTCCTTTCAATTAACCATTTAAATCACAACCCACACAAACCCCAACCCCTGCTGCTTTATAATAAAAAAAGAAAGTTAGACCAGAGCCCAGGAGTTTTGATTCATGCTGCTGAGTACGGGCGACCCGGGTCTTTCTCTGGAGCCTATAGTCTAATGCAACTCTTTGAAAGAGCATTCCTTCAGCTGCTGGCAGAGATAGCTCCCCCCCCTGCTTCTGAGCTGGATGGTGATTCATTATAGATAACCCCTCCTGATTAATTTTATTTTGACTTTAACTTTGACATTAAAAAAAAGCTGTAATCGGTAAAATTCTTCCTCTAACATTCACTGCTCAGCTATTTTTAGCTGGCTTTGGTGTTTGATGCAGAAGAGGGAAAAATCTAAATTTAGAAAGAAATTAAATTGTTGATTGTCATCAAAAGTCCTGGCTGTCAGATTAGAAAGTCATCGTGTTAGATGCTTTGTGATGAATAATAAATCAGCGATTTCCTTGAAATTCTTATTTGAGTTCTTGTCCTCGGGAAGCATCAGATGTGTGGGTGAGTCAGACACAAGCTCGCTGATGGACGCAGGGTCTCTCCGGAGGCGCCGCCCCTGGCCTGCAAGGGAGTGTGGAAGGCCTGGCCCCGGGAGGGACCTGCCCATGGCCCGGGAACGCGATGGCCCGCGGCTGCCAGGGGCACGGCGAGGCCCACCTGGGCGCCGACTTCCCACGGGTTTCTCCCCGCTGCGGCCCGCGGCCCGCAGGTGTGTAAAATGGTTAGAAGAGCACGCGCTGGACAAGACGGTCAAGGGATAGGGAGACGCAGTGGGCAGAGGCCAGGAGCTCGGCGCGGGGCACGCGCGGGTGTCCCGGACGCGGAAGCAGTGACGGCGAGCACGTCATCACCCGTGGCAGGAAGCGGCGACGGCAAGTGCGTCATCACCCGTGGCAGAAAGCTGTGATGGCGAGCGCGTCATCACCCGTGGCAGGGAGCGCGTCATCACCCGTGGCAGGAAGTGGTGACGGCGAGCACGTCATCACCCGTGGCAGAAAGCTCTGCCGGCAAGCGCGTCATCACCCGTGGCGGCGAGCGCGTCATCACCGGGGCAGCCCGGGCAGCCACGCAGCTGGGCCAGCAGGACCCGCAGTGGAGCCCAGGGTGCGACTGAGAGCCGCCTCCAAACGTGTGTGTGCGGTTGGGATCACATCTAATGACTGAATGGCCTGGGCTTGACACCCTCGCGGCAGGTGGACACGGCGTCTGACGTCAGCTCCCGCCCCCATGACGTGAGCGAGTGTGTCCTAAAGAGCCTCCTGCCGCATGGCCGTTGCTGAAACGCACCACGAAGGGCTGAAATCACACCCTTTGAGGAACCATGGCGGCGCTGAAGTTAAGGTAAGTGGAAGCCTCAGGCGCTCACCCCAGGCGGAGATCTGCGCGTGCCTCTCAGAGGCCATGTCAGTCGCCCGGCACCGGGCTGGCCTGTCATCAGTCTGGCCTCTGAAGCCCTGCAGAGAACAGGGCATCGGGACAAAGGTTTAGCGTGGATTTTGTATGGAGTGGAGTTGTTGGAAGGATAAGGATCGGAGATGGGGAGGGGAGGTGGGGGGGGAGGGGAGGAAGGTGAGGGAGGGGGAGATGGGGGAGGGGTGGTGGGTCTTCAGAACATGCCCCCACGCCTGGCACACCCTCCTGCCTTCTCTGGGTGGCAGAGCCAGCTTCTCACACTCTCTACATGGAAGGTGAATTTCGGTGTGGATAACAATAGTCATTTTTATCATGACAAGCAGCCTTTATCCTGCACAAGGCTTAGGCAGTGTTATCTAATCTTTTCTTCTCAGGCATATTCCAAAGGTTCCCTAATTAAAATTTCATATGTGACAGGTAGAGTTAAGGGTCTCTGGACTCTTCACCCCTGCTGCTCCGCCCTCAGGCACATGCCATCTCGGCCACCCATGGTTCCCAGTATCACAGGCACCCACGGACACCAGAGGGAGGAAGAGACCCCAGCTCATCAGAACACACTGGCCGCTATCACCAGCACGGTGCTGCCAGCGTGTGGTTCCCAGGCTCTGGTGAGGGCCGGTGCAGACAGCCCAGCCCTGGCTTGTGGGGCATGTGGGGCCTCTGCTCAGGGTCTGGAGGAGCCAGCTGGAAGCCCCTCCTCATTCCCCATCATTTTCCATTAGCCAGGGCTCTCCTGTCTGAGAGGAAACGTGCAGGCCTGGGGTCAGTCAGTGGGCTTATGGGGCAAGACTCAGATCAGAAATCGCACCTTCCAGAACCAGGTGTAGGATTCTCTTGACAGTGCTGCTGGCAGCTTGGGGTGACTAGATCTTTCTGGAACAAGATCATTCTTTATAGACAAATGTGTCTGGGCAAGGGTGTGTGTGTCTGTCCAGGGGACCTCATCGTTCATCATCCCCGACCTGTGGAAAGGGAAGTCGGGGTTTAGAGAAAAACGCTACCCACCTCAGCTCCCAGCCTCGTTCCAAGGGGGGATGGTGCTTGTCAACCCAAGCAAGTTCCGGAGGATGGCTGGAGCCATGGTTTCAAAGATGGGGACTACAGCAAGCACTCGGATGTCCTCGGCTCTCTGTGTGTGTGTGGGGGGGGCGGTGTCCATGCTATGGGATTCCCCCACCCTTCAATTCAGGAGGTGCCCCAGGGCCCGCATCTGAGACATGTGATGACGCCGCCATGATTGATTTCTCGGAGGCCCAGCATGGTTTTCATTTACAGGGAACAAAAACTTTCCTGGCTTTTAATCTTGGCGTGCCTGTTTCACCACAGCTCTGAGATGAGCCGAGCACGGACCACTAGCCCCTCTGTCCTCCCTTCTCCCCTCACCTGAGCACTGACCACAGCGTCGCCCCCATACGTATGTAGGCAGATTTGTGTCGACACTGCGTTGTTACACTTGACTTCCTCCTTTTTTTTAATTATGTAAAAAAAAATCACATTAAGCCGAATCTAATTACTGCAATGTATATTAGAAGCAGGGCACCATCAAAATTTTATTTAAATTAATCAGGTTTTGATTTAAGATATTAAATTCAAATTAATCATGTAAAAATGGAAATGATCCTTGACGTGCTTCCAGCTGTGACTTCAGTCTGTTTTCTCGTGAGTGACTTTCGGGATGTCTTGGGGGGAACATTACAAAAATTCACGCCGGTGCCATTTCAATTAGAGTTATTTAGCAGGACAGATGTAAAGAATATGGTATAATTAAGAAGGAGCTGATGACATGGCTACAGATTTTCAGGATTAAAAGGAAAAAAAAAAAGGACGAAAGGGGAAATTGACTACTGGCCATCCTGCTCGAGTTCCAGTGCAGGGAGGTTAAGCTTTCATTAAAGACAGAGCGGAGACGAGCGGGTCGAGGACTTTTTCTCTGGAGCCACCTAAGGGCTCCCACTTTGGTTTCGACTTTGAAGTTTCATTAACAAGCCGGTGCTAAGTGATACTGCAATCCTTATCGTTCCTGGAATGATCTTTCCCCACAGCCATTGTAGCCGCTGCCTAATTTGATTCTAGGGCCATCAGAAAGCTACAAGAGTTAAAATGTCACTTCAAGACCCGTTTTAAATCAAATCAAACCGCGTATATTGGCATACATGCTGCTGTGTATATGGACCGCGTCCTTGATTGTACTCTGCACAAGAAAGGCTGCTTTCTTCTATTTACTGTATAGATGACAGATTACAGTGTGTAAGTGACATTGGCTCAGTTTTCATGACACTTAAAGGGAGAGGTGAGAGCCCTTTGTTCAGAGGTGATGACACAGGTTTAAAAAGGCTATCCCGAGTCCCCAGCCTGGCCTGTAACTGGGCACCAGGTGCTGCCCTCGCCTGCTCTGCCGGCATCTCAGTAGGCACTCTCCCAGCCATCCCTGAGCCTCACCTCTGGGTAAGTTTAGTTTTCAAGGCCCAGAGAGTCAGAATTTGATTTTCAGGCCCCTTTGGGGGTGTACCTGGTCAGAACACAAATCCTGCCAGTGTGATGACTGCTTTGGGGCCCCTCGTTTGTTTCCAGTGATTTGACTGAACCCCAGGGAGGGCCTGGGGTGGGGGGTTTCCTACCAGAGGATGTGACTCAGTCTGGGTTTCAGAGCCTCAAATAATCAAATATTTCCATGTCAGAAGGCGCCGTGTGTGTCCTTTCTAGTATCCCCGACGGCGCTGTCCTTCTGTCCTGCTCTCCCTGCCCAAGTCTTGGACAGAGGCCGCCCTTCCTCCTCGGGACGAGGGGCCTGGGGACCATCAAGAGCTCTCCGCCCCATCATCAAGGCACATGAGCCCGGGCCCCTGCTTTGGCTGGGCACTCATCCCAGGCTGACCACGGCATCATAAGCTAGAGGTGTATTCTAGAATGTTGGAAGTGCAAGGGGAAGGAGCAGGCTTGTTTCTCATGAATAAACTTGATTTGAGAATAATTGGGGGTCTTGTCTTGTTAATCTCAGGATTCTCACGCTAACATGGGACTTGAGATCCAGCAGGAACCCGTGAATGTTTGTGCATTGAGGAAGAGAGGAAGTGAGAAAGGATAAAAGAATAAATGAGAGAATGGACGGTTTCCGCAGCTGAGTTTGGGATGAGCTCATTGTGAATGAGGATGAAGAGGCAGGTGGAGGGCTCTTCGCTCCCTTATCCCAACCTCCGCCAAGTGACAACCAATCAGGACAAGGGACCCGCCAATGGACACCAACCTTGTGATGCCACGTGTGTGTCTGGATGGATTCCAGGGCTGTAGAAAGATGATTCATTGGCGGGTCCCACTTCCCACTCAAGTGATAGAAATACACATAGTACTCTTTCAAAATCACGTTTCACTCTTTAAAAAATTCTAGTGGGAGGTTCAAATAATAATAACTTTTTTCTTAGTGGAAAAATGGTCTTTAGCAGTTAAAGGCTATGTCTGATTTCTCAGAAATCCAATCAATTCAATAAGAGAAATGTTTCAAGTACCAGGATGACAATGATATTGTTTTTCTGATCTTCTTTTGTCTGTCTGTTCCTCTCTCATCTTACCTTTGGGCAACATGGCAGACGGAGAGGCTTTGAGTCCAGACCTGGCCGCATACATACTTTGCGGCTTCACCCTCCTTAGCCTCAGTTTCCCTAGTTGTCAATGACCAGATGTTTTGGCCTCAGATTTCAACCCATCCTCTTGCTGCGTCCTGCTTCCCACTCACATGAGTGGCTGGATTCTCACGGTTGTCACTCGTCACGGCCATTGTGACTCTGATTGTTGGCACAGCTGCTGGGGCCCTCAGCGTTCTCCTAGGTGAGCTACTGGCCGAGTGCATATCCTCCTCCTAATTCTCTAGTTCTAGTAAGATGTTGCAAAAGCGGTTTGTGTGTTGTAGGCCTGAGACAGAATCCTGTTCTGTAACTTAAAGCTTCTGTGATATTGGGCAAACACTTCGAGTTTCTGACCCACAGTTTCCTTGTTTGCAAAATGAGAGTAACCTCTGTCTAGAGGGAAGATGCAAAGATCATATGAGAAAAGCTTTGACTTCTCCGCTATCATTACCCTGCCCCCCTTGCTGCCTCCACTAGCCAAGCAGTCCTCTGCCCCAGGGCCTTTGCACATCATGTTCACTCTCCGGGATGTTCTCTGCACACCCCTCCCCTCTAAGACACAATTTTCTTTGTCACTTCACTCAAATGACTCAGTGTCCCTCTTTCAGAGACTTCGTCCCTGATTTTTCTTTCCTATATTCACCATTTTCTACCCTACCGGCCACTTCAATTTCTGCCAAACACTTAGACCCAATTTTACCCCTTTATTTTTCTTTTAGTCCCTCCCCAGGCTACCATTGGAGCAAGGACTTTTTTTCTTGTTCCCTGCTGTATCCCTGAGATGGCAAAAAGTGCCTGGCAGTAGGCGCTCAATAAATATCTGTGGAGTAAATACTTCTGTCTGAAATAAAGTGGGAAATTCACCCAGAAAGTGCAAGCTGTCCTGCCTTCTATGACACATCCTCACTTTGGAGACAATGTCGGGCTGGAAGAAATTGGGGCTACCAGCTACCATGTCCACTAAGCTGTGTGCTGGACTGGGGCCACTCAGTGCCCTTAAATGTGCTTGTGGAAAGTCCCAGAACAGGGATGCAGACAGGAGGGTCACCTAGACAGCAGCCAAGAGGGACCCCAGCTCCAGGTCACAGTCAGAGTCACACAGGGAGGAAGAGCTGAGAGACCCAAAGCAGGAGATAAACAGAGATGAGAGCAGAGGCCAAGCAGTGGGGGACTTAGGGAGGTGACAGCAGGAGGCTGGGTGCAGGTGGGCGCCTCCTCCCCTCGGCCCCAGGCTGGCTGGCCATCTAGAACCTGCCTGGCACGTGAGCATGGGGGAGCCTTGCATCATCACCCTTGGCACTTGGGGAGCCAAGCTCCGTCCTAGTTACCCAGCCCTCGTGGTCAGGGCCTAGCTCCTCTGTGTGTGCAGCCTCCGGGAGTGTGCCCTGGAGGCCAGGAGTCCTGGCAGCACAGGTCGGGGACAGCTAATTAATATCGAAAAGGTCTTGGTAGCTCCCGCTAATTGCTGTGGCCCTGCAGGTCCTGGTGTGCCAGCACCTCCCTCCAGCCCCGGCCCCAGGGGCCACAGCCAGCTCCAAGCAGAGGGCCGAGAGCTCCGAAGACGTGAAAGTTTCACATCTTTGCATCAGACATGAAATCCTCAGAGCAGATGCAGACGGGGCTAACCCCGGCGGCCAGGCCCTGATGGCCACTGAGGGGGATCTGCCTGCTCTGGCTCCACTCTTGAGCCTGGGGCAACTGAGCCTCCCCTGAGTTTCACCTTGGCGAGGATGCCACAGGCCTCAGCTGCATGAGCCAGAACCCGGTGGAGGTTGATCTGATCTGTGACAACCACGCGGCCAGGCACCAGCTCCGAAGTGGTACACTGGCTTTGATTCACAAACCACCAGCCCTTTCTGAAACCCATGGGACCAGATGTTTTTCAGAAACCAGAAGTTGGCACATTTTAGAAAGTTTCTTTTTTTAAAAAAGATTTATTTATTTATGCATATAAGAATTGGGGTACAGGCCAGAGGTGTGGGGGGTGAGAGGATTCACCAGAGACAGAGTGGGGAGCAGATCAGACAGATTGTCTGAAATACACTGCTGAGGGGAGCAGCGGGAGAGTCAGGAGAAGTCTGCTGCGCCATGTGGGTAGCTCCCTGGCCAGGGATCGAACTCGTGCTGCAGTGTCTATGGATAGCTTCTTAGGTTGCATCTTAACCCCTTGTGCCACCAGGGAAGCCCCATTTTAGAAAGTTTCTGTGTCTCCTAATTTTCTGCCTTGTAAGACCCCCAGAGGCATCTGGGACACAGGAGCGGTGCATGCCGTGATGATTCTGCAGCAATATTGTGTGTGGATATTCACACTCTTGTCAAAAATAGACTATAAACAGCCTCCTAGTAGCTCTGCCAGTTCAGGTCAGGCTTTGCCACCAGGTGAATGAGTGAATGATGAAGTTGATATCTGGTCTATGCAGCCTTTCTGGAATGTCTGTGGCTATGGGACTCCGGACACGCATGAAGCCAGAGAGCATCTGGCCTCTGGCCTCTTTTTCCACGTGACAGACACAATCGGGTCCCCCTCCCCTCCATGACGCTATAGTTCATGATCTCAACGTTGCTTGCTAGCAGGACATACACGGTGGAGTCCCAGACGGAGCGTGGGGGCAGATGGTCAGCCTGGCCCTGGTGGCACAGCCTATGTGCGTGGCTTGGTCTTGACTCCCCCGGGGAAGCATCTGGGTGGGACCAATGCTCAGTGTGGCATCTGACTTTTAGAAGCCCCCAGATTTTCATGGCCTGGAAGAACCTTAGTGAGCACGGCCACCTCCATGGCTAAGGACGAGAGGGTGTGGGCGCAGTGGACTCAACTCTTTCCCCACGGCCTTTGTCTAGTCTGTGTCTGATGTCTTCAGGGGTCCACAGCCACTGTGGGGCCATCCCCCATCACAGTTCAGGTGCCACCCTTGACCATACAGAGGGTGGAAGCGGTGAAAGTCACGAGGAGGTGGACTTCCTCTTAGACTTTAATTCCGAGCCTCCTCTCCAAAATCTGGAATGTTCTTTCACCCCATCCAGGCAGCCTGCAAGCACGAAGCAGCCTCCAGGCTCAGCTCAGCGCCCCACCGCAGGCCGCATGCCGCGCGTGGGAGCCAGGCTATTCTGTCAAGGCCTTGGGAAAGCATCTCCTTCCTCCCATCTGATAGGGTTGCTACTTCCTTTACAATGCAAAGGGTTGAGGGCCCTCCCATCCCCCACCCTGCCACGTGGGGAAGGCCAAGAGCGAATAAAAAAAAAAGGCTGGGTTTTCGTAAAAGAACACAGGAGAGATGACATCCAGAAACCGGAGGGGAGGGCTTGGGGGTGGGGGGCACTCAAGTTCCAGGGCTAGGAGGTGGGGAGCAGGCCTTCCCAGGTTTCTGCTGGGCTGACCCAAGCAGCTGGAGCCAACTTCCTGCAGAGCAGGAACCCATCCCTGAGTTGGGGTGAGTGTGGAGCCTCCTCGGGGAACTTCAGCTCAGAAGGCTCTGCTGCCTCAGTTTCTTTATCTGTCCGGCTTGGCCTTGTTCAGGGTCCTTGGGACTTGAGGGTCTGAAGTTCATGCCAGAGGCACGGGAACTGACACCCCTGGCACATTTGGGATTTGGTAAACACCCTCTCCTTCACCCCTGTCCCACCTGTGGTGGGGATGGATTATTTCTATACCCAAGCACCAGCAGGGAGATGCTCCCGAGATTTGCCTAAAGTTGTGGGGGGAGCCCACTGAGGCTGGGACTCGGGCCGCCTGACTCCACACCTCTGTTCATTGCACTCATTAGCTCAGTTTTCAACTCAGTGGAACAACAGATAAGCAGGTAACCCATAAACCCAATAACAGCCAGACGATAATTATTCCTTTCTTAAAATTGTCTTATTTTTTATCGAGGTATCGTTGGCTTACAACATTATGATTCAAGGGTGCAAGTTCACACCTCTTCAGATGTATGTGACCACACCACACCCACCTCCAGGCACCCACAATCCTCTGCCTGAATCCAGAGGCCCCCCACTATAGTCCCCATCCCCCCACTGTAGCCTCAGTTCTGCAGTTTTCTAAGGTTTGTTTTGGTTTAGTTTTGTCTGTTCCTTTGTTTTGTTTCTTTCTTTGTTCTGTTTCTTTTTAGTGCATATATGTGTGAAACCAGCCAGCAAGACAGTAATTATTCTGCTGATCCAAGTGTCCAGCTTTGCAAACACTATTCTAAGTAAATATTGGCTATTCCTATTTTTGCCAGGATGCACCCTTCCCAGGCATGGGGGACCGTCTTCAAAAAAGTATCAGTTTAATTTGCACCCAGATGACAACCTCTCCAGTAAGCCCTGGACCCCAAAGACAGAGCCGGACAAGGACTCCCCAAGGCAGGCAGCGTGGCCCCTGCACAAACCAGTTTCCCTATCTGGTAGGTCTCGAGAGCTGGGCAGGGAGAAGGTTAACCTTTGAGATCCCAAGAACAGGACCCTGTGTCTTTAATGGTCTCCTGCCCTGGCCTTTCCAGGCCGTCTGCAGCTGGGCTGCCCCCAGGCCCAGGCGACCTGTTTTGCACAACCTCTGAAGCCAGGTTGGCGGCTGCCCTGGGAGTCTCCCGGCCACAGGTGAGGTGCCACGGCCCCAGCAATGCCCAGGGGGCCAATCAGGCCAGGACTGCATGAGGTAAGAGGGAGAGTCGCCCCGTGTGCTCTGGGCTCCCTCAGAAATCTCAGCAGATCAATGTCACCGTGACTTTTAATTACCCCTCCTAGGCCTCATCATTATTTCATGGCCTCTAATGGGCCCAGCAGGCTGCCCCGGGCACACAGATAAACAGCCACCCAGCAGGACCTGGCCCCTGAGGAGGTGCCCACCACGGCCTCCCAGCCCCGGGGACGGTGGCCTGACCAGGCCCAGCCCTGCCGAGTGCTTTTGACACCTGGTGCCTCTGAGCATCCTCAACTGCCCTCCTTTCTCAAGGCAGAGGCTGCATATTTTGGCTGAGGCCCTACTGTGTGCCAGATGGGCCATGTGACTCCTCCAGACTCCTGGCCTGCTCAGGTCCTTCTAATTGTCACCCACTGTCCCTCCATGCTTCCAGCCTGGTGCCCAGTGTGCTGCTCTCATCCTGGGCGATTTTGCCCCTGGGGGACATTTGACCACACCTGGAGACATTTTCCGTTGTCACAGCTGGGGAAGGATGCTGCTGGCGTCTAGCGGGTAGAGGCCAGATGACTCAAAAAAGCCTGCCCTGTGTGGAGTGGCCTCACCTTGAAGAATTAACCAGCCACAAAGATCCACAGCCCTGAGGTCACACACAGGCCCTGGCCTAGCTGCCACTGGCCTAGCAGAGCTTACCTTCTGCTTGTCCTGTCCCCTTGCAACAGCTGACACCCGTCCTGAAAGTCCCACCTCCACTTCAGACCTGGCTCAGTGACCAGCCGGGTGCGAGGGGTCTCCTCCGCCTCCACAGCTGCATGCTTCATCCCACAGCGGCTGGCTAGGAGTCATGGCTGAAGCTAGGACTTGGGAGTGGGTTGCTGGCTAAATCATCTAGAACGAAGGGTGTGTTATCTGTAAGGTGGGTCCTGGGTCTTATGAAGGGGATACTGGGCTATTTGGCACAAGCAGGGACACGGGGAGACCTGGCATAGGGCACCCCCACTTGGGTGCCCAGGGCCGTGTGCAGATCAGTGGTTAGGACAAGTGTTGCTGAGGAAACACCTGCCATGTGGCTGATGGGCACACCCTGTGTGTACTACAACAGGACAGAGTCCAAACTCGCAGGGCCAGGCCTGAGGTGTGGACAGCGACTGCCTTACCCTGCAGCTCCCATTCCTGCCTCAGGCTGGCTCTGAGGACATGTGCTGGGCTCTGCTGCCGCCTCCGGACCTTCTCACTTCAGGAGGCCCACAGAGGTGGTCAGGAAGAGCTTTCCAGGTCCCGCCTCAGTCCCAGCCCAGATTCCAGCAAGATCTGGAGGAAACAGGAGTAATCCCAGAGTGATGCCACATGGCGGGGGGCCAGCTTTGGATTAGCTCTGTTGCCCCCCCAAGCACTTAACAGAATCTGGTGACAATGGCAGACAATGGCTCAACACCTTCCTGGAAGACCTTCCCGTACGTCCTCGTTACTAGCTCACTCCACATGTCTGAGGGAGCCTCTCTTGTTCTAAGATCCTCACACTTGTTATTCCTTCTGTCCCTTGATGGAAACTGAATCCATGAGATTTGTATTTGGCCAGTAAACTCCCTTGTTAGCTGGGTGCTTAGGTAGAAGTATAGAATTAAAACAATGTATTCATTTGTATGTGTATGGGTGTTTTTTGTACATAAATAGCTTGTCATAAATTGGATTTTATAATACTGGGATTCACCTAAAGCTATTATTTTTTCAAAACAAAATAATGGAAATTTTGGAAAAAAAAAAAAGAATTTAGATACTAAATACATTTCTATTTATTAGGTTTTTCAACCTTTCTCCTATCCTACCCCTCTCCTTTGCATTACTCTTAACTACTCTTCCCACCCTAAACTCTGAGTGGGGTGTTTGACTGAATTCGCTGTGCCTCTGAACTCGGTGTGTCTCTGACTGAACACTGGGTGTCCTTCACTGAACTCAGGGTGTCTGTGACTGACTGAACTCCATGTGTTTCTGAACTCGGAGTGTCTGACTGACTGAACTCCATGTGTCTCTGACTGAACTCTGGGTGTCTCTGACTGAACTTTGAGGGCCTCTGGACCTGGACATCTTTAGTGTCTCACCCCTATCTTGTGCGGACTAATAGCGTGAGTCCTGGGATGGTTCCTGGCGACCCTTGTAGGACCTCCGTTATCTCCCCTCCAGGTCTCCCTTCCACATTCTGGGTGTTTCGATAACACCTAAGAGCTGCCCTCACATTTTCCCACCCCCCTACAGTGAGTAACGCTCACACTTGTCCCCACATCTGAGTCTCCCCATCAGGCAACGAGGCAGCAGTTACACCACCAGCAGAAAAGCCAGCAAACAGTTTCAGAGACCCTGGGTTTTTACTTTTCCTCCTTTAAAAATGTTTGTTCCCCTAAACAACTGTCACTCTTCCACTTCGTCACTGTTATTTACTTGTCTATTTGAATTTGATTTCTTTTAATGCAGAAAATGGAATATATGCTAACAAAACCTGTCACAAAGTCTAAGAAAATATGTCAATAACTACCCTCATCCTAGAGACCTCCTCTCTTTTAGACCATCCGAAGAAATGGTCTCTGTCGGGCCCACCCTTTGGCCATGGAACTCTGGATGTATGTTCTGGTCGGGTGTGTGGCTCACCATTCAGCACTCCACTTTGGAAAAGGCTTCAAGAGAGCAAACCACAAGCCATAATGTCAACCAGTTAACTGCTAACGCAAGTGGCAGGAGGCAGCTCAGGGGCAACCACCTGCACGGCTGTGTGTGGTTGGGGCAGAAGGTCAGAGGGTTGGATGTCAGCAGGAAGGATGCTGAGGACTGGGGACAGAAGGATCCAAGGCCTGTGCCAGCTGTTGGGCCTGCTGCAGCCTATCTCCTGTGCAGTGTTCCCTCAGTGACCGCAGAGCCAGAAGGACACAGGAACAGACCTCTGTGGCATCACGCTGAGTTTGAATATCTAAACATGAATCACCTTCAAAGTAGCTCCTTAAAAGAGGCCTCGGTACAGAAGGTGTATTTTAAAATATCAAGTTTATCAAGAAATGCCATGATAGGAACCCACCTGCAGGTTCCCACCAGGGACAAGCAGTGTCCTTAGCAGGGGACACTTTGAATTTGAACTATACTTGCCCTGGGAAATCATCTGCCTGGTCCCTGACCTCCCCGTGTTCACAGGGCAAATGTCTCCTCCTCCCGGCCCACATGAGGGGAGAGGCAGGTAGAGCTTGTTCTGCCTTCCTGCAGAGCAGGGACTCAGCATGGAGGAGAGAGGACCATCAGCAGAGGCTATTTTTGTGGGGTAAGTCTGGAGCCATGGCCAATAAATACTCCTTCTTTGGCTGGACTTTCTGGACAATTCCATCTGTACTTAAGATGCAAAACAGTTAATACCCACATCTGTCCTCCTGTACAGATTTGCTAAGTGATGACCAAAGTCTCCCACTCTGGAAACTTTCACTCCTTGCACTCTCTCCATTGTCTTCTCTCACAGGTCAGTGAGTAGCCCCGACACCTACCAGCTTTGTTGAAACAGAGTGGGGAGCAGAACACACAGACTGACTGAAATACACTGCTGAGGGGAGCAGCAGGAAGATAGGAGAGATCTGTTGTGCTCTGTGGGTAGCTCCCTGGCCGGGGATCGAACACATGCTGTAGTAGCTGCAGACAGCTTCATAGGTTGTTTCTTAACCCCTTGCACTACCAGGGAGGCCCAATTTGCTGGAAAATGTTTGCTGTGGAAAATCAAGGGAATGCAAATTGCTTTTTGCAGAACAGAGTCCAGGAATTGTTCATGCCTTTAGGTTGAATCCAGGGCTTGACTATTTGCTGCTATGAGCATAGGGATTAGTAAGTCTTTTAATACTAGTGTTTTCTTTTTTTTTTTAAGATTTATTTATCTATGCATACAAGAGCTGGGGTACACGCCAGAGGTGCGGGGGGTGAGAGGATTCACCAGAGACAGAGCGGGGTGCAGAACAGGCAGACTGACTGAAATACACTGTTGATGGGAGTAGCAGGGAGGCAGGAGAGGTCTGCTGCACCCTGTGGGTATCTCCCTGGCTGGGGATCGAACTTGTGCTGCAGTGGCTGAGGACAGCTTCATAGGTTGTGTCTTCACCCCTTGTGCCACCAGGGAGGCCCTACATACTAGTGTTTTCAACCTAAACGCCCATCGATGGATGAGTGGGTGAAGAAATTGTGGTATATCTGCTCAGTGGAATGCCATTCAGATGTTGAAAACAAATGAAATAAAACCTTTCCAAATGGGATGGATGGAAACGAGGTGACGACACTCAGTGGGACAGAAGAGGAAGATAACGACCGACGGTTTTACTCCTTTGGGAAAGTAAACAACCAAAGAAAACAAACCGGCAGACACAACAAAAATAGCTCCTAGACTTTGTGAAAAATAGAACGGCTACCAAGGAAGGGGGAGCGGCGAGGAGTCAGAGGTGAGGGGACAGGTGTAGGCACTAGAGTTTGGGTGGAGGGCTAGTGAGCACATGTCGAGGTGTGAGGCCGCGTTTCCAAAATTATACAGTGTGTAAACAAATGGCAATCAAATTTGATAATTAAAAAAGTACTTGCTTGGAAATCCCACCTCCCAGAAGCCAGGGTGAGTGGGGACTCTCTAGAAGCAGGAGAATGGGGCGGGGGAGCCAGCTCCAGGAGCGCTCAGGGCAGGGACGGGGGACACTGGCCTTTAGGGATACCCAGGGAGTGTGTGTCCAAAGTGCCCCATCCTGCAGGTCCCCACTGATTCCA